GCTAAATCTTATAAAGAAATCTCTACACATAGAATTCAATCAATCATCCCCATAATTTTTTGGGCTTTTTGCAGAATTGACCTGAAACTTGAAGTCAACCACAAAACTAACCTCCTTTTTTTTTGGAACTTTATTTTGTCCAATTCACCCCATAAGTTCATATAATTCACGAAAATGCCATCAATTTGTTTTTGTTTTTTTTCTTTCGAAAATGACATATTTACTCTCTCACCCTCATCATCTTCAAGTAATTACAAGATTGCCATTGTTATCAATACTCCAACAACCATGAACAACCAATTTTGAAGTTCTTAATGCCTCCAAATTCCATTTACCCTTCTTCTTTTTCTATTCTCATGAACTAAACAATACATTACAACACATATCTCTCACTTTCTCTCCACAATGAGCTAAAAAAAAACCAAGATTTTGATTCTACATTTTTTAGGGTTCATATAGTCAAAGAAATTAAAGATTCAGGGTGGATTACCTTCGTTTGAGATTCTGAGTGCTTGATTCTACATTTTCTAGGGTTCATATAGTCAAAGAAAGTGGTCTCACCAATTTAAGGTATGAAATCAAGTTTTTTTTCCAGATCTGTTCGTCCAGACGACTGAAATTTCAGTCGTCTGGACGACTGAAACTTCAGTTGTCTGGACGACTGAAACTTCAGTTGTCTGCATTCGTCCGGTCAACGCAAAGGTTATTTTTGCAATTGACTTTGCAATTTGTTTCCAGAGACGACTGAAAGTTCAGTCGTCTGGATTAGTTTGATAAAAAAAAAATCCTCAGAATCTGGACGACTGAAATTTCAGTCGTCGTAGGTTAGTTTTGCATTTGACAAGAAAACTTCAGAATTTTGACTTTTTCGGACGACTGAAATTTCAGTCGCCTGCGAAAAAATTGAAATATCAATATTTTATTAGAACTCACGACTTACATTTCGGTAGTAATAGGTTAGTTTTGCAATTGTGAAAAAAAACTTCAACTCTCAAGACGACTTATAATTCAGTCGTCCGGAAGACGACTTAAAATTCAGTCGTCCAGGATTTTATTCCGAGATTCTGGTCAAACCTTGTAAGTCTTAGACGACTGAAAGTTTAGTCGTCCAGCAGACGACTGAAATTTCAGTCGTCCGGATATGTTTAAATGTTGAAGTTTTTTTTCGCAATTGCAAAACTAACCTACGACGACTGAAATGTAAGTCGTCGAATTTCAATAAAATATTGATATTTCATTTTTCTTCAGACGACTGAAATGTAAGTCGTCCTGAAAAGTCAAACTTCTGAAATTTTCTAGTCAAATACAAAACTAACCTACGACGACTGAAATTTCAGTCGTCTGTGTTTTTTNTAAACTTTTGTTTTCTTGGTTCTATGTTTGCTAATGTGTTTTATTTTTACTATTTCAGATGACGCATCAGTTACGTGCAGTGTATGGAGAATGGTTGTTGGAAGATGGTTGTTGAAATTTTGTGGTTGATCGTTTCAAATGAGCGAGGATGTTATTTTGAGTGAAGGTTTGACACATGCTGATCTTGTTTCAAAGGAGCGAGGATGTTATTTTTGAGTGAAGATTCGTCACATGCTGATCTTGTTTCAAAGGAGAGAGGATGTTATTTATGTATTATGTACTTCTCTTTAGACGACCTTCATTTCATTCGTCCAGACGACCTTAATTTCAGTCGTCCAGACGACCTTATCGTTAGTCGTCTCTCGGGTTAAATAAAAATTTGAAAAGACAAGTCATGCATTACATCACATTTATGATTTGTAAATGTGTAAACACATTGTTATCACATATATTACATCTTGGGAAACAATATTACTGATTTTACAAAAAAATTCACAATTAAAAGAGTACACATGCAAATCACAAAACATACCACAGACTAAACTATAATAGATAATTCCTTTACAAAGATAAGTTTGGACTCCACTTGATATGAAACAAGACAGCTTCAGAAAACTTTCAGGAAGTCCAGACAACTTTCAGACGACTTACAGGAAGTCCAGACGACTTACAGGAAGTCCGGAAGACTTACAGGAAGTCCAGACAATTTCCAGGAAGTCCGGACAACTTCCAGAAAGTTCAGACAACTTCCAGAAAGTTCAGACAACTTCCAGACGACTAACAGGTAAGTCATCCAAGACGACTAACAGGTAAGTCGTCCAGACGACTAACAGGTAAGTCATCCAAGACGACTAACAGGTAAGTCGTCCAGACGACTAACAGGTAAGTCGTCCAGACGACTAACAGGTAAGTCGTCCAGACGACTAACAGGTAAGTCGTCCAGACGACTAACAGGTAAGTGGTCCAGACGACTAACAGGTAAGTCGTCCAGACGACTAACAGGTAAGTCGTCCAGACGACTAACAGGTAAGTCGTCCAGACGACTAACAGGTAAGTCGTCCAAACGACTAACACGTAAGTCGTCCAGACGACTAACATGTAAGTCGTCCCAGAAGTCTTTAAGATCTGAAAAACCTGCATATCAAGCCCAGATCTGAAAAATCTGCATATCAAAAAACATTCAAATGGCTTAAAACACACATAAAATGAGTGGAAGATTAGATATATCTATATATATATATATATATACTTTTATAGAACACACAACATACATATCAAAATGAAGATGATAACCATATGATTAAAAACCTGCAAGAAAAAGATAGATTAGTGAGAAAAACATGAGACAAAACTGAAAAATTCATATAAATTTTGGTGTTTTCAAGTCAAAAAATTACCAAATGAAGAAAACATAAAAAATAAGTGAA